TAATATATATACATATACATACATATACATACATATACATATATATACATATATATACATATACACACACACACACACTCACTTTACTCCGTCCACAAGGTCCTTAGCGTCTCTCATTTTTCCGTTTCCATCGTCAAATTGAGAGTTGTTTCCCACAGTTATCACCCCTCCTTTCTGTCCCAAAGCTGGGAAACACCTCCGAGTAACTGAGGGAAAGTAAAGAAAACAGCAAAAAATTTAAAAGGAGGCTTGTCAATTTGAGTAAAAATAAATAAATAGTCACAAAATACATTTTTATAAGCCAAAACTTTCCAGATTTGCACTGGCTCTACAAAATATGATATAAAATATTATATATTTTGCTGATGATGATAGATAGAGATTCATCTTACAGGGCCTGCTGGGGGTCAGCATGGCGGGACAGAGACCTAACTTGAGGATTTGTGGTATTCCCTGAAACACAGTATATCCAAAACACATAAGGAGGTTTGTGGAAACCTTTAACATAACAGATTGTGCACAAAGAAAGAAGCATCCATGGAGGCTTAGACTCTAAACTCACCATAGTATTAGTCGCGCCCTCCTTGCAGAATTGCTTATAGTAGTCAAAGTCATTATTGTTGCTGTAGGCTTTGACTAATGTCATGAACTTTTCAGGGCACTTCTCCACACACATCTAAAAAAAAGGAGGAAGCAACATTGACAGCGGGACACCGTTACATCGAGTGCAGGGAAAGCATTACAAAATGCAGCACAGTAGGGAGATTGAATGCCAAGACAAACTATTTTTCAGTCCATGGTGATAAAAGCAGAAAATAAAAGCAATAGCTGCATCCCAAATTCATACCACATACTGAGTGTAAGCAGATTTTAAGTTTGTAGTGTTTTAAAACTGGAAAAGTGACAATAAACTAAACTCAAAACAGTCAGAACTGAGACTAAAAAGCACTTTTGAGTGTGCTGCGGTGCAACATGTTTCTCCCACAGAGCAATGTACACAGGAAATGGAAGAGTGGCTCACAGCTGGGAAAGATTTGTGAATGCTGATTAAAAAAAGAAAAAAGTGTTTTGCACGGCCAGAGAAGAATACACGATGAGAGAAAAGTTGAGTTCACACCTGTGTGGTCGGACACTGGAACTCCAGAAGCACCATGGGGCTGGCACACTTCATGATGTTGAAGTAGAACAACAGTGGCTTCTTCCTGTTATAACGTACATACAAAAGGAAAAGGACACGTAGGAAAACCATCAAGAACACTGCAAGATTCAGATGAATAGAAATAGATTAATCCAGTCTCTGGGTATGTTGTAAGAGAAGGTATGTTTGTCAAAGAGAGGGAGGGATATAGAGAAGGTGTTCTTTAAGGTGGACGTATTCGTGATTTCTAAATTGGGCTCTTTAAACCAGAGAGGGTTACATAAGGAATCGGACTTGCAGCCAGTTTTATAGTTGCTTCTGGATTATATTTGTTCTCAAATACAATTTACTTAATGGACTGATGTGCAAAAGACAACCAGACTGACTCGGATTTGATTAGTTAGACTTATCCATAAAAAGACACGGAAGAGATCTGAGAATATTGTGTTTTAATAAATTAAATTTGGAAAATAAGGATGAAAGAATACAGAGTTTGTTGCCTTGCAAAAGCTGATTGTAAAATGATATGTTTTGTATTACTGTTTGTATGATATGTTTGGAACAACTCATTGTTGTTGTATTTTTGAAGAAAATGATAAGATAATAACGTTTTGTATACTTGGTATTTAGAGTTATTTATCAATGGACTGCATAGAAGAAAACTGGCCTCGGACCCCGTTGAAGACAGTTGAAAACATTTGGTGAATAAGGCACATGTGTTGTAATGTTGATGGAGATTCGCTGCTTTGAAGCTCACTTCCCCTCACTGTATGTATGTTCTCAAAGTTAGAAGAAAATGTCTCAGCAGAGAAGCAGAGAGAATCATAATTATAATCTATTCTTGGAAAGCAACTCACTCAAGCGGGGTGCCAGCCTGCCCACAGAACTGCCCTCGGCTGTCTGTGGGATAGATCACCTTCCTAGGGTCGCCCTGGGACCAGGCTGGAAACAAAAAATAGAAAGGAAAAGTTTAAGTTTTTTTTTTGTATTTCTATAAGTAGGTTTTAAAATTGTATTTTTATATGTTAGGCAAACCGAAGCGCTGTTTCCTTACCGAGTATTCCCACTGCAATATAACCCAGTATGGCCAGAATGAAGAGGATGCAGCACACAATGTCTGTGCAGCCCCTAGAATGGACAGAACAAGGTTTGAAGGGTTGAAAGAAACTCTCTGTATTCACTTACACACAGTAAAAGTTAGAACTAAAGTCACATCTCACCTGTTCTGGATCGGGCCCTTAAAGGTCGGGTCATACTTTCTTGGCTCGCCTACGTAGAAGAAAAACAGTGCGTTTATCACTCAGTTAGCTTTGTGACTACTGACAGCATGGCTCAGTGAGAGGTCTGCTACTGCGCGTTAAAAACAGAGATGCACCTTGCACCCAGATTTCTTTTTAAAGGAGATTTAAGGTTAAGAAAGAGTACGCCCCCCCCCTTCCTCCCATTCTTCTGTCAGATGACCTTTCCCTCCCAGCAGACACGCCTGGCAACCCAACAAATTCCTCCCTGGTGACTAAGCAGAAGCAAACCCATGTGAAGGATAGAGCCGACCCAACTTCAGCCACTGGATAAAACTACTAAATAATGTATTGCGGTACAGTAATGTCATGTTGATGCAAGATTTACAACAGAGATAGTGTCTGTTTTGTTTTTGTGTAATGAATTATGTTATTTTGGTTGTGTTAATAACTAGACTTCCTCCAAAAGCACTGTCAGAAGCAACGTTTCCTGTCTGAACCCATTTGTGTAATAATCCCCGGTGCATCCATGGGATTACGATGCATGAAGCTCAAACAGCTGCACAAGGCTTCAGTATTAGTAAACCTTATTGTCGTTTAAGGTGTAATCTAATTTCTGAGCAATCGACTGATGGTCTGTAGGTTCTTATTATTGCAGGCTCAGGCGTATAGTTAAGTTTGCTGCAGGTTAACTGAGGTCAGCGTGTCAGAAGCAGGAAGCAGAGCGTCCATTATCGAAGCAAATTCATCTCTAGCCTAAGAGCTCTAGTCTAACATTCATCAGGGAACATTAGTTTCACTCAGCAGGTCAGTGAAATAAGAAAGCAATGTGCCACATTGAGCAAATACAAAGCACTCAACAGAAGTCATACATTGGCGAGCCGCACACACACACACACACACACACACACACACAAACAATACACAAAATAATGCTTTTATATTGAAAAATCATCAATAGTTTGACCTCATGGTGGCCTTGTTCAGGTGTTAAATCTCTCAAAGAACTAACATCAATCCCATAGTACCACAGCATGTATATGTACATATGTAGTATAGGATCCCTTAGAGTCTAGACAGAGGAGTATGATATTCTCTGTGGCATCTGTGCATATTAATTATGTATGTGGTCCAGAGGATAATGCTGCAGCAAGCATTTACCAGAGTCTTGGAGGAGCCTCCACTTCCTGTTCCAAAGACCACAGGTGTTGCATTTCATATACGTGGTGTGAGGTTAGTATTCTCCTCTGAGATGCTAGTTTTTTGGGCTTTCATGACATTTTCACAGATGGATATAAAGTAATCTATTACAGACTCAGCAAAGAAAAAAGGGAGGCCTTGTTAACTCAATATGTACCAGAGGAACCAGAGACTTAATGAAGGACTTATTCAGTTTTGCTATTTAAAAACACCTAGCTGCCACTGACAGAAAAATGTTCAGATTCTCCAACCAGCCACTTAACAGTAAATCCTTATTTTTTGTCTAAAACCTACCAGCCACTTTTGCATTTTACCAGCGTTTGGCTGGTGCAAATTTCCCAGCCTGTAATATTTGTTCAAGAGAAAATGACTGATAAAAGAGCTCCTGGCACGCTGACACACACCTGTATAATCAGCAAGGCTGCCAGCAGTTAGCACGTTCCACACAAACACACCTATTCTTCCCCCGCGCGGTTGACATGCTGATACTGCCGCTCCAGTTTCACTCAAACAATTTACACACTTTTTAAGCGGTAACAAAAACAAAACCTAAAGATTAACCAGTACTCCTCTGGGTCATTTGTTTTAGATAGGTACAGAATGAAGAAAAGAAGAAGCTGTGAATCAATGTCAAACTAGAGCAAAAAGAGCAATTACCATTCTTTCCAAAATATTCTCCATCCTCAGGCATGTTGAAAGTCCTTTCTGGGCCAAATGTTGAAATGTACAGAGAACCCTTTTACATGTGCCCCTTTATCTGGTGGACTTCTTCCTCTCTCTCTGCTGGTATAAATGAGCGAGAGCAGGGGAAACCAGTCCAACCTGTCCCTGAATAGCTGTGAGCCTGGGCAACCAGCAGCGCTCCACCTTACTTCCCTTCTGTGTTTATCCTGAAACGACTGCTTCTTTCCAATCTGGGCCACACCTGTGCATCTCCCTGTCTCCTCCCACTTTCAAAAGCCCTCTTTCCGTCGGCTTTTCCACTTTGTTTCTGTCTCAGAAAAAGCTATCCAAACGGGCAAATGAAACAGACCTACAGGAAGGCTGCGAGAGCAAGAGAAGAGGTGTGTGGACATGGGAAGGACAGGGTGGGGACTGCTGTTGTACACAAGGAGGAGTCAAGTTGCTTAGATCTTATCAAAAACATGTGTTTGGAGTAAACAAGGACAAACTCCACCTCCAGTTGTTTTTTTTAAGGATCTGCTGTGGAGGAGGAATGATATTAGATTCAGGTGTGCAAGATACCCTGCAAAGACCATATCCTGCAATGAGTTGCAGCCACACAATATGAAGCTCAAAAAGTCAATCATTTTGTGAATCATTTCCATTAAACTGCCTTGTGGAGTGCATATGGATGTACTCAAATGTCTCCCATCTTGTGGGGACTTTGCAGTATTGCACTGGGAGCGAATGAGCTCCTGTTCTTTTTCTGCTTTGCATTTGGTGCTTTCAGTCACTAGACATTTTGGCTCACTCTGTTTTGTATTGAGCAGCCAAGAGCAATCAGAGTACGAGTTGAGCAACAAAGAGTCCACAGACTAAGTGCCACAAATGTTTTTTACAGATGCTGACAGAAAGAGAAAAAATAGCTAGAATGACTGAAAGTTTCCATTCTGTTCTTGTTTTATGGCCGGTGTTAGTGCACATGTGGACTCTCATCAGGAGTCCTGGCTGTGCTGCAATTTCCATAACAAAATAAGAAAAATAAAAAAATCAGGCTCCGACTGAAACAGAAGCTGGTAGTTTCTGGGGAATTTAAATTTCCTGGATGATGATAGCACACATGACACGCAGCAGACAACACTACAACAGTTCTTATTCCATCTATTGTCCTTTCACTGTTCAATTATGGCGGCTGATGCTAAAGGTCATGCGCAAGTAATCCTGACCCTGTAACTCGGACTGGCAGACAGCTAGAGTGACACTGGGAGAGTAAAACCCACCAGTCTGGTCTCTTAAACTAAACTAAACACATTTTTGTATTGGTAATGTGCTACATGTTTAATCAAAGCTAGTGAGTGGCTCTAATCTCATTCCAATGAACCACCTCTGTGCCACCAGACAACCCTTGGGCATTCATTAAAATCATTAAAAACATACAAATGAAGCCACACGTGTAAGAGCTTTGATTTAATTATGAACAGTTTTTCTCACAAGTCTTTACAAGGGAACCCACTGACAGAGAGACGATCTGCATTTGCATTGTGCTTTTGTGTGTTTTTATTGTAAGTACAGTATTAATGTATCTCTGCACTGTGTTAGGGTGTTTATTATTTAACAATTAACCACTGTTAGAGAGAAGGAGAGACTTTCTGGGAACACATAAACAGTCAAATAATACCTGGGTTATGTTAGTTTATGTTGTGTTTTCGCAGAAAATGAAACCGAAGCCAAGCTTGATGCCTTGCATTGTTTCCACTTCTGTTTCTTCCTGAAAGACAGTGTTTACGTAGGACATTGTTTCATGTGTCAGTATGGGTTTTCCTGCTGTATTTTCTTGCCACCGCCCTTCACATCCTACGAGAATCTGGTAGGCTCTAAATAATTAAATAAATGATTGCATGGTGCATGCTGACTCATTGTGTTATTGGTGACACCTGAGCGTTTCCTGCTATGACTCAAAATGTCTCAAAGTGTCCTCTGTTAGCCGTACGTATATGTATATCTGGAGTATTCTTTGGTCACCATCCCATTAACAGACACAGACAATTAATTATATTTTTAATTAACTGGCGACAACACAAGATCAGAGAAAATGAGCTAAGTAGTTATTATCAAATGGAACCTCGATAATAACATTAACGGTGAGTCACATATAGACATTTTTGCTCATGACGAAGCATATTACTGTTAGAACCAGTTTTAGAAACTAAACTAGAGAATAAAGTAAAGGTTGAATAAACGGCTGAAATAAGAAAGTTAGTAATGAGTAACAATAATTCTAGAAACCCAAGAGCTATAAATAAAGGGCTGTGATATCATAGCCAGATAATACAGTAGTTAGACTCTTCAACCATCTAGGCTACAGCTGCTGCCCTGCCTGTTTATCTCCCACATGTCTTTCATTACAGTAAGAGGGTGTGGAGTTCACATCTATTCACAGTGTTAAAAAAGAGCCTGCACCACAATCGCACACACACTTACAGTATATACACACAGTACAGTGTTGTATCCTTACAACAACATTTGGTGCGCCTGTCTCATAATATCTCAGAGTCAAACAACAAAAATGTTTCCTAGCTTCTAAAAGAGTGGACATGTGGACGCGCCATATTTCCACACAACACTGACCTCACAACAGTTAAATGAAACTCACAGTGAATCAACTCTCTATCTCTGTCGGTGAAGATATTTCTGTAACTCCGACACAGATGACAGAAAGTGAAACCAAGTCAATTCATCAACGTATGAAGTGGATATGACTAGAAACACTATTTACGGACACAAACAGGAAGCAAACACAAAAGACACTTTATAGAATACGTTTTCTATTTGTAGCACCACACTCCGTAGATACAAAATGCAGTCCTGACTTCAGTATAAGATAAATTTCAACGGACGCGTGAGGAGAATAACTGTAGCTGCTGACGTTCCAAAAGAGTCTGTTGCGTTCCTATTAACAAAGAGACACATTCCTCATCAATGAGGAGGGTCAGCAAGCTCAGCCAAGATCATAAACGCAGCTACTGACTGGCAGAAAGAAGCTGATAAACACAGGAGATAGCTCAGTGGGGTGGTCCCGCTTCCACATCAAACTGCTCTGCATGTGCATCTCTTCTTGTCCCCAAACTGATTTTCCCCTGACCTGAATAACCAACCGGTCCCCCACTGCTCTGAACACGCCTTTGTATTTGAGACTGTAGACCAGTTGGCAGAACCACTGGACAGTCAGAGGAGTCACATGATCCGGTTTGGGTTGTTAGGGTATGATGAAGCACATTTAAGTGGAAGCCGGTGGCTGCAATGTCGCAGATGTTTGTTAGTAGTGGGGAGGACACAATGTAAAGTACAGGAACTAAAAAAACAAATGAAACAAATCTGCAAAGGTAGCTCAGAGAAGCTTTAACGTGCTGCCACAGACATGAAAGAGAGGCCAGAGAAGCTCAGCATCGGGTTTCAAACCTCCTCTCCTAAATATGGCTTATAATTACACCTAATCTGCACCAGGGCATGGCTGCCTGGCTGCTTCCAATCCTGTCATTGAGGTTTCTTGATATATGTTATCCTGAAATTACTCCAACATGGGGAACCGTGGTGGATCCTACAGAGTGTTCTGAAAGTTTCTCCCACGTTTAGATTTGATTTTTTGCTGAAAGTCTCACTGAGCGTTGAGCAACGTTAATGTGTGTGTCGCTATCTCAAACGACAAAGCGAAGCCACAACCATCTTCTCCCAGCGGCCCAAGTGCACTTATGTTCCTCCTCTGCTCCTCCCAATGGAACGTGTGGAACTGCTCGATTCCTTGGCAAACTCGTAAGTGTTTCGATTCACAAACGAGCACATAAAGTATGGCGCTGGCTGCCGTGAAGGGTTGGTAATGTGAGCGAATTAGCCATCATGTGGTGGGGCAGAGTGGAAAAGGGTGTGAGCAGAGAAGAGGGAAAGCATTATCATAAAAGCCACATCACGAAAAACAGTGGACAGAAGATGTGCCTCATCATATTGTTTATTTATTCCTACTTGTCAACATCCTGCTGAAGCTAAACATGCTCATAGTTCGTTTTATTTATAATTGTGTACTAAAGACACGGCTATTGATCCAGAATGAGGCCTAAACAGGCTTTTTTCATTCAGGTGAATTGTTTTTTTGCTGAGTTTCTCTCACTGAAATGCCCTGAAAGATTCCCAAAGAGCTGTATATCACACCTAGTCTACAACAGGGTGTGTCACTAACAGAGGAAGCAGTGGCAATCCAAAGCAACTCAATGTATACTGTGTGGAACAACATATTGAAAGGGAAACATGCAGCCTGTGAGAAACTGAGCATATTTTATTAAATTAATAAAGAAAAGAATATTGCACTACCAAGAGAGACAAATGCAGACTCCTCTTCATGTGTTTGAGGTATTTTCTAATAAGCTCTATACATAGCTGGACCTCGGCTGAGCTCCTGCCATACCAGCCTGAGGAATGTGGCAACTGGACAAGCAGGAGATACATGGGGACATTGTAAAGCCTGGACAACACATGAGGCAGTCTGTTACCACCAGTTTATTTACACACTACACGGCTGGTGCAAACATGACAGGAAAAACAACAACTTTGTGTCTCTGTAGGTACACGCTAATATTTAGGTTGCCATATGCTTTAAGTTCAGAGAGAAAGTGGTCAACAAACGTGTTAATATACATCCTAGTTTCAAGAACTATTCGACGCTAACGTCTTGCGCCAAAACCAAACCAGCTAACGTAGGTTTATAGATGTAAGGCAGCTACCCCAAGCACAACATCAAGTGAAACATGCCCGTGTTAGACTTTAAATAATTACCATATTTCGGTTGCTCCTCCAGTTCCATGTTCACGAAGTGTTTCCTCTGGGCTAAAGGTGCTCACGGACGGCCACTACAGCATATTTCCAGGCTTCACAGATGTCTTCGTGGGACGCTTCTGTCAACTTCAGGACTTCAGGGTAGAAAAAATCCGCTCCAAAAATCTTGACTGTCCTGCTAACATTTAAAGGGAGAATGCTCAGAGGAGAGCGCTGACCAATCAAAACGCGGGAGAACGTGATTGACAAGGCGCTGGGCCAATCACCGAGCGAGGGGGGAGTTTAGTCCTGGAGACTGGCATGTTTTCTAGTACCGTTAACTGAGACACCCGCAGCTGTCCAATGAGCGGCTGTTACCGTCTAATAAGCTATGGCAGTGCCCCAAAATACAATTAATCTTAATATTTAATAAAACATACTTCACTCGTGTTTGTCCATCAATACTCATTCACAGTGAAAATGTGTCTTCATCAGCAAAGAGTGCAGCCAATCAATGGCACAACATAACTTCTATGG